TCTGCCGGCCTTTTAATCCGTCCTAACATGACTCAACTTGATGCTACCTTTCGTGCTGTTGATACCGCTTGCCGTGCGCAAAATGCGCATCACCACTTGACTGTATTGCCAAGCATTCCTTGCCTTGAGCCCACCGTTGCGGTGGAGCCTTCTCTTGACGATGACCCTTCACTTACATCTTCGCGCCATGGGCGTTTCAAGAAGCGTGCCAGAGGTGCCTAGTGTGGTCGCTTTGGTTGCCACTACTAGGCAATGTTACTCTCGTCCTTGTGCCTGAGGCACTTGGTTCGACCCCCTTTTTGTCTTACTTTGGCTTGCGTCACAACAGTGGGCGCTTGTCTGACAATTGCAAAAAAAAAAAAAAGATCAAGTGGTGGTTTTTGCCATTTCGCGAATGGAATAATTTTGTTTGGCATGGGGGTTTTGAATGTGTGAACCTCCGGACGGCGCTGATGCTCGATCGTCAAACTCTGACGATTCGGGCGATGTCTCTGCGCATGATGCTGCAAGTTCGGGCGACGTGTGGCAGCTGATAGGTGCTTCTACGTCGGACAGTATCGTTGCATCTTCTGCAGGACGAGATGCTGCAGCTTTTTCAACAGATATTGAGCAGCAGCAAGATGTGGATATACAAGACATGCTGAATGTTCTGAGACACAACGTGGATCAGGATTCGCTTTATTCTCATTCTCATGCGGCAATGAGCGAAGCAGAACCGATTCATGTGGATCCAAACAGGAATTTGGAATACGCCTGGAGCAGTTTGTATCCTTCAGCAAGCGCTCCTTTTTGGGAAACAGGCTTCTGGTCACGAATTTTTGGAACTGGTGTTGGTCATTCCGGGCATTTTGATATGCTGGAAATGAATAGACCGCTGCCGTTTCTTGTGACCCTTCTGAAGAACCTTGTGACGGGACGACTGCTGGGGTAGTTCAACCAACGAAGAAGCGAGCTGTGACTTCTTATCATCAGGTAATCAAGAATACGACTGTTCAGAGTTGGCAGGATGAACGTGAGGATCTTTTTCATGCGTGAGCCAGCTCTGTATGAATATTTTGTTTTCTCAGCGTCATGAAGGTGCTCCTGCGACCAGGCTTAAAGCAGTCTCGAAGCATGCTGGTTCGCAAGACACGTTTTGGGTGTACAAGAGCTTGATGAGTGCATTGCGAGTCGAAGGTGTGCAGGTGCAGTATCCTTGCCAGTGGGAAAGGAGCTTCATCAGGCGACGCCGATTACCGTGGAGCACCTCAAGACTATTCACCAGGTTTTGCACTCAGACTCGGACCCTTGGGACAAATGTTTCGCTGGCATGGTATCATTCTGTGTTTATGCAAGGGCACGATGGTCGGCGCCCAGCACAGCGAAAAGGTTATTGGTGATCGAGATGAGAAAGGAGATGCTACGATAAGGCCCGTCTCGACCTCGGAGGCATCAAGTTGGTTGGAACATTTGCTGACCAAGATTCATGGGAAATTGCCGGGAAAAAGGTACACCTCGCACTCGTTGAAAGCAACCATGCTTTCGTATTTGGCAAAAGAGGAGTACCTTTCGAAGACAGATTGGCTTTGGGATACCATGCAAATCCCCTTCGGATGGCGCTTACCTATAGCAGGGATGGTGCAAGCAGGCCGCTGGCAGTTCTGTGCGACATGCTGGCTGAGATCAGGAAAAGGTGTGTTTTCGCCGGATGTCACTAGAAGTGGGCGGCTGCAGATGGGTTCCGACAAGAATGCGGCTGCTTCGGAGGTTGCCGATGTGACGCTGGTGCCGAGCGATGTCGTCGTGATCAAAGACGAGGACGAAGTCACTACGGATTCGGATTCTGACACGGAAGAGCCAGTTTTCTTCCCAAAGTCCAACGGATTGATCACGTGTTGCCTAAGGAATCAGTCATGTAGCAACACTCTCGGCTGAAGACACTACACATTGCTGTCGAAGGACACAAGCGAGCATTCTTTTGCGGTAGGCCCATTACGGACGGATATCAGTTGGTCTCCTTGCAGCACAGGTTTGACGCGCCTCGGTGCAGGCAATGTTTCAACAGCAAGCTCATGCTGGAAGACAAGTAGCCTTTGCAAAGCGGGAGGACTTTTCGCATGAAGGCGATAAGAGGTCCGCTTTCCATTGGCGTTTCACCTTTGACTGTGCCGATTGAACGAAAACCATTAATGCGCTGAGACCTTGCCTGTTTTTCGACATTGTCGCAAAGACAGCGCTCGTAATTGAGGGAGGGAGAGTGCAGCGTTTGGTTTTTCCCCCTTTTGGGTTTGTAGGAGACCAACTCAGATTTTGTTTCGTGTCGCAAGAGCGGATTGACGGTGTCGTTTACTCCGCTTGTGGACTGCGGAACACTCGATTCGATCGAGTGTAGGGCTGCCACCTTTTTCAAACAGACCAAATGGACAGTGGAACACTTGACTTGGTCAAGTGTAGGACTGCCATGTGCCTTTTCTCAGTGTGAGTGATTTCAAACGTTTGGCCGTCAGCAGGATCGCGCTTTTTTCTCTCCGAGAATTTCTTGCTCTAGAAGAGTGATGCGCTTTGGAGCTGGTCGGCATGCGTAGCAACTTTTTCTGGGTAAGTTGTCAGAGTTGTGGAATCAGTGACATGGGGCAGAGTGGAACAAACTCTTTGTAGGACTCGCCTGCCATGTCTTTGATCGACTCGACAGCTGCTTTCAAAGCGCACTGTGACAAGATAGATGATGCAGGCAATCTTTGGAACCTTGTGAGGTCCAATGGATTGCGCAGCATGTCGCAGTTGGCTTTTGCAATAGGAACTCCGCAGAGTCCTCCGACAGAGCAAGAGTTCAAAGATTTCTGCAAAAGCATCAACGACGGAGCTGACCTTTCGTTGGGGCTGTTTGCCCAAATGAGGCGGTTGCATTGCGAGGCCTCGACCATGATTGTGGCTCACTTGAGGTCGCAAGTCAGTCAAGAATCAGGGCAAGAAGGAGTCAGAAAGTTCCCGAACGCCGAGAAAAACGCGCGTTTGGAAAGACAGCAGGCTCGGCTGAACGGTGTCAGCATCGAAGGCGAGCTGCAACCATCGCATGCTTTGATCGACCTTGTGGCCTCAATGTGTGACACAAATTACGTCATTTGGGTGGCCCCCTCGAAATGCTCTAAGCGTGAGAGGGAAGTGCAACAGCTGACCAAGGAGAAAACTCCTGTTGACAGTGGAGCAGCACATGCTGAAGTTTTCAGGACCTGACGAGGAGATCAGCGTTGACACCTCCACGGAGCTGCATTGGCAATGGGCGATGCAGCGAAGGGGGATAGCGTTGGATCAGTGTGGGCTGATACACTGGGATACTCGTCAGAAGTGGTTGCAGCAGCTTCTGGGTCTGGTATCCCGGGATGCTCCTGAGGGTTACACCCGTGTGCGATTGGAGCAGTTGGTGAGGGCCGATCAGGAACTGATCACCATCATGGCGGAAGATCTGCAGTCTATATCGTGACGAACGGTCGGTGCAGGAAGGGCATGCATAAGTGCATCAAATGCGGCAGGGCAAACCATGGCTTGAGCATTTGCCGGGCCAGCAACTGACATTTGCCGGCCGATTCGCGTCGTCACCAGAAGCATTTGAAACGCGATGCAGATAGTGAATTCGTTTCGCATGCCAAGCGCCCCTTTGGGCAACCCATCTTGGGCGCTGACCATAATGTTTCAGTTGAGCGTGATGCTGACAAGGAACAATGGGCCGCAGATTCGTCGGCCAACATCGCTCTGGTGCGTTCGGCAACCGATCTTGTGCATCAGGACGTTTGTCAAGAAGACTCGCTTTCTTTGTCAAAGTTCAATGGGCGGGACATTGCAAGTATTTTATTTGTTGAAGTTTTTGCAGGATCGGCAAGGCTTTCCCGTGCAGTACGAGATTTGAACATGAGAGTCTTGGCGGTGGACCACTCTGCAGCAAGGGCCCACGGCATTCACATCGCCAATTTTGATTTGGCAGTGGACGCTCAGGTGAGCAGTTTGATCCAATTTTTGCAACAGGAGGAGGGCAACTTAGCCTGGATTCACTTTGCACCGGCTTGCGGAACGGCGTCCCGGGCTCGAGAGAGGCCACTCCCAGGCCTTGAGGCCAAGGGCTACAAAGTTGCCAAGCCACTGAGGAGCTTGGCTCATCCTGAAGGGTTGCCTGGGTTGCACGGGACAGACAAACTGCGTGTGGAAACTGCTAACAAGGTCTATTCCAGCACGGCCACGATCATTCGTTGGGCGTCCAGCCGGGCCATCGCATGCTCCATTGAGAACCCCGTCAACTCTTTGTTCTGGATTGTGCCTTGTATTCAACATTTGCTTGATGACGTGTGTGGCTATGACGCTTGTTTTGACAATTGCTGTCATGAAGGCAACAGGAAGAAGACAACTCGATGGTGGTCCACCCGGAACTGGTTTCAACCACTTGCTGTTTTCCGTGATGATGGTCATCCTCGTGAGCCATGGAAACCTGTGGCCGTCAATGGCAGATTGACATATCCCACTGCAGAAGAGGCCGCTTACCCTATTCTTCTGTGTCAGAGACTCGCAGGTATCTTGAAAGACAAGCTATCGCTGTTCGAAACTGTGGATGTGCAATCTTTGTCAGAGCAACAGGTCGTTTCCGATCAACCTTTGCGCCGCGTGTTTTGGACATGTTGCCAAGAGGGCTTTGGTTTCTGAATACGGCTGCTACCAACGTGTTGTGCTTTGCATGGATGAGCTCCTCAACATCGCTGAGCAGCAATGGCAGTTTCCTTCCGGAGCCAAAGCGGTCGGGCGGCGAGTTTTGAAGTGGGGTGAAATTCGGGCCGACCCGACTATTAAACAAAGCAAGGCGATTCGTGAGCGACTTCACGACTTGAATGATGAGGACACAGTGGAGTTACATCACGTGGGTATTCCCAGGAAACCATTGGATGGAAACCATTGGATTTTGTCGAAAAGCAGTGCAAGCGGGACACCCAAGGTCTTTTGCGGTTCATCTGCCCACGGAAGTGGTGCGAGTGCCCAAGGTCTTTTGCGGTTCATCTGCCCACGGAAGTGGTGCGAGTGCTGGAAGAGAACGTTTCAGGCGAGGACTTCACTCTGGCCAAGAAAAGAGTGGCCTACCTTTGCAGGTGGACCACGAGGGCTAAAGAACTTGGCGTCGAGGAGCAGAACCTCAAGAAAACTATGGCTGGACATCAGTGCCGCTTGTTGCAGGGAAAGAGGTTGCTTGTTTTCCAGGAAATGCTCGATGATTTGGGGTACCCGGACAAGCCCCTTACCTGTGATCTCGTTGCTGGTTTCCCGCTGTCTGGCTGGTTAGAACCTTCCGGGGTTTTTCCCGCACGCAGTGAAGAGGCCACAATATAGCGTCGACACTTTGCGAGTTTTTGGCCAAGGGTCCGAATGCGAGCATTCTGGCTCAGCTGAAAAATGCAGATGATCGGGATGCGACCAATCAACAGGCGTGGCGTCAGACTCTCGAGGAGGTCGAGAAAGGCTACGTTTGGTTGGACGAGGACGTTGACCCTTTCAAGCATGCTCTGGCAAAGCGATTTGGCTTGAAACAAAAGAACAAGGTGAGAGTCATAGATGACTGCACGGTGGGTGGCCTGAACAAGACCATCGGGGTTGTTGAGAAGTATCGCACACATGCAATGGACGAGATCTCAGCATATCTTGCATGGATGCTTACCCGCTGTCAGGCGGGTCGATTTTCCAGTCGCTGGGCAGGACATTTGACTTGAAGGCAGCTTACAAACAATTTGGTGTCAGTCTTTCAGACCGTGATTTGCTACGGATTGCAGTCAACGAAACACAGACTGTGGGCGAGTTCGTTTTCTGGGCATCAACTCCTTGCCTTTTTGGAGCCGTAGGATCCGTTGGAGGTTTCCTGAGGATCAGCATGGCTGTGTGGTTTCTTGGCATGGTGGGGTTGCGGCTTGCTTGGTGTGTTTTTATTGCGATGACTATACCATATTTGCAAAACAGTCAATGGCGACTAACGCTACTGCAGCAGCTGAAGGCCTTTTTCAACTTCTAGGTTTGGAATTTGCGCGGGATGGTTCAAAAGCATGCGCCTTCTCGACGGTTTTCCGCACCCTGGGAGTTGAAGTTAACTTGGACCTTTTCTCAAAGGGCGAGATTTCGCTTGGCCACACTTGTGAACGACGCCTGGAGTTGCAAGAGGTCCTCAAGGACATTCTGGACTGTGGTTATGTCAGCTCGAAAGTCAGAATCCTTGCGGGGACGTTTGCACTGGTTCGAGAGCTTCGCTTTTGGAAGGATTGCTAACAATGCTATCAAAGTCCTAGGCGATCTTGCAGTGAAGGAAAACAAAAGGAATGTTCTGAGTGCGTCCGAGAGGCTTGCTCTTATTTTCCTTATGGAGCGAGTGGCCAGTGCTCGACCCCTCAGCCTCTTGCCTACATCTCTGAGCTCTTGGACTGTTTTTACAGACGGTGCTTGTGAAGGAGCCGAACAGAAATTGGGAAGTGTTGGGGGCGTCCTTTCCGCTCCAGATGGGAAGTGCTTTTCCTTTTTCGGAGGCGAGGCTCCTGCGGATCTCATGGAACGCCTTTTGTCCTTTTCTGCGAATCCCATTTACGAATTGGAAATCATCCCGGTCTTGATCGCTCTTGCGTATTGGAGGCAGCGTTTCACGGGCGCATCAGTGGTGTTTTACATCGACAATGATGCTGCCAGTTCGGCATGCGTCAAAGCTTCGGGAGCGACCCGTCACGCTAGGTCTCTAATGGCAAGTGTGTCGCATCTTGAAACGGAATGTCAGTGCAAAGCTTGGTACGCCAGAGTACCGACCAGCTCAAACATCGCCGATGCTCCCAGCAGGCTCTGCTTTGATCAAGTCAAAGCATTGGGAGCTGTGGAGACGGAATTCAGATGGACTGAGGTTGCTGAAGCTTTGGGGGATGAGAGCATTGGTCGTTTTCCTTAAATGGGGGAGAGCTCGGGACCAATGCAGACTACGCCCCATTGCACTGAAAAGATGCGACATATTTTTCAAGTTGTATATCTGTATGAGTTTTGACTTTATATATGTCAGTGGACTCTGGACGGATATATGCTATATATGTGTTGGAATTGGCTTGATCTTTTATAAAGGATCTTTCCGGTCCGGGTTTCCAACTAACGAAAATAAGTGAGCTACTCCCGATGTATCGGGATGAACGCCTTATTTGAAAAAAGTTGGAAACAATTTTTGAGTTGCAAAAGTTAGGGCCGGTTGTTGCCAATTGTTCATCTCTTGTTTGATCCGTAACATTGGATCAAGTGGTGGGTGGGTGGGGCGCCTTTTTGCCATTTCGCGAATGGAATAATTTCGTTTGCCCACCCCGTTTGCACTCCCGCCCGAAATTCTTCGTGTCTGTGCGCCCGCTCGGGCCGGGCGCAGTTTTTGGCCTGACCCTGAGCCAGAGCTCGGGACCAATGCAGACTACGCCCCATTGCACTGAAAAGATGCGACATATTTTTCAAGTTGTATATCTGTATGAGTTTTGACTTTATATATGTCAGTGGACTCTGGACGGATATATGCTATATATGTGTTGGAATTGGCTTGATCTTTTATAAAGGATCTTTCCGGTCCGGGTTTCCAACTAACGAAAATAAAGCACATATAGTACATATAGCAAGGACCCGGGGGAGAGTGGATGTTCAGTGGCTTGCCTTGTGAGAGCCATATAGCACATATAGCACATATAGCAAGGACCCGGGGGAGAGTGGATGTTCAGTGGCTTGCTTTGTGAGACCCATATAGCACATATAGCACGTACAGCAAGGGCCCGGGGGACTGTGAGGGTTTGGCACTGCGCCACCTGCCTGGCATAGAAGCCTCCCCGGCCGCGCCACCTGCCTGGCATAGAAGCCTCCCCGGCCGCGCCACCTGCCCGGCATAGAAGCCTCCAGCCTGCCAAGCCCGCGCCAAGGTCGGGATTCTTCCCAGGAAAAAAAAATCCAGTCCCGTGGGGGGAGGACTGCAGCACGCTTTTTTTGCCAATGGCTGCGAGGCCCCAGGATTGCCTCCTTCAATCCTGTTGTGGCCCCAGGATTGCTCCCTTCAATCCTGTTGTATTGCTCCCTTCAGCCGACAACTGTGAAAAAAAAAATCCAGTGGTCCTGTGGGGGGACAACTGTGAAAAAAAATTCCAGTGGTCCTGTGGGGGGACAACTGTCTAAAGTTTCGGCGAACCTGCCCGGCAGAGCCGCGCCAGCCCGCCGACATGGAGGCACGCAGCTGATGTCTCGCATCAACTACGAAGCAGTGTCCGATTTTGTCGGACACTGGCTCCATCGTGCGCAGGTCTCGCTTTTGACCGGCGCCATCGGTCAAATCAAAAATTGAGTCACATCCGGGAAAAAAACCCTGGTGCGGGCCTGGTGCGGGCCTGGTGCGGGCCTGGCTTTCAAGGTCACCCACGGACTGCGACACGTACTTGCGGAAACTTGTGCCGAAGAGGGGTTGGTGCGTTTGACGCACCAACAAGCGGTGACGCCTGTGAGGGGGTGGTGTGTCAAACACACTACCCCCGCCGGAATGCCACTCCAAGACCGAAGCTGCGGAGCCGGCCTCGCTCCAAGACCGAAGCCGCGGAGCCGGCCTCGCTCCAAGACCGAAGCCGCGGAGCCGGCCTCGCTTTGCGGAATAGCCACTGGACTAAGGCGGCGAGAACATATGTAAACATGTTTGAAAGGACCTGTTACCAGCAATATCCCGGAGGTCCTGGACAACGGAGAGGTGACTGACGGCACGCACGTCACCGCAGGGCAGCTGGCCCTCGCTTTGACGCCCTACGCTCACGACGACGTCACGCTGGCCACCCTGGGCGAGGTGCTGCTGGAGCCCACGCTCACCACGCTAGGCAACTTCCTGGTGCGCTCCAACAGCTAGAGCTCCGTGGCCTCGGCCAGCTTCACTGTGGGAGGCTTCCAGCTGGAGGGCTACGCCATGACCCTGAGCGCCTTCGCCTGGAACATTGTGCGCACCTACACGCTGACGCCGGGGAGACGCTACTCCTTCGGCTGCCGGTACCGGCTGGGCACGGCCTCCAACTTGGTGATGTTGCACTTCGGAGCTTTCGGCGGGTCTATCCCCGGGCTGGTGCAGCAGTCGGCGGGCACGCTGGACCTGTACAGCATGCAGATCAGGGCCAGCGCCTTCGAGGGAGATTCTGTCTCAGTAACGGACCTGCTGGCGGACTCGCTGGCCCTCACGGGCTCGGCCACGCTGGACGGGCTCACCGCGCAGGGCAACGTAGGCTGCGACCAGCTGCTGTGCAACGACGTGAACTGCACGGACGTGTTCACGACAGGCGTGGACGCCTCGGGCGCAGTCTAATGCGCAGCAGCTCACTGGTCCTGGTCGCGGTCGCCGGTGGCCACGCTGGGCAAGCCGGACGGGGGGGCTGACGTCCTCAGGGGCCGTGTCAGGCAGCTCGCTGAGCATCACCGGCGCGGCCAGCGTGGGCCTGCTGAGCTCCGCCACAGGAATCACGGGCAGCACACTCACCATCAACAACACGGCCAACGCCGGGAACTTCACCACGGTGGGCGACGTGTCCACGGGGACATTGACGGCCTCGGGCGCAGCGACCGCGGCGAGCTTCGCAGCCACCGGGGCGCTCACGGGCGCCACGCTGACGATCACCGGGGCGGCCTCCGCGGGCCCGCTGGACTGCGAGAGCCTGGACTGCACCTTCACGGCCACGTGCGGCGGAGTGTCGACGGGCAGCGTGGTGTGCGGCGACGTGACGAGCTCGGGCACGGTCTCCGCGCCGCAGCTCTTCGCGTCCAACACGCTCACCGTGACCAACACCTCAGACTTCTCGGACGATCTCTTCCGGACGAAGAACTGGGCGGGCTGGAGCAAGCTGCAAGTGTCCAACAACAGCGCGGCCCCCGACAGCGGCCCGGAGCTGCGGCTGCTGGGCAACCAGAGCGCCAGGGTCTTCCTGGAGCGAGACGGCGGGGCGCACCAGTGCGAGCTCATCATGATCAACGACGAGGCGCTGGTGCAGACAAAGAGCCTCTCCACGCAGCTGTCCCTGACCACGAACCAGAGGAACCCCGGCTGCCTCGTGATCGCGGGCAACACGGGCAACGTGGTCTGCAACACGAGCTTCACGAATTTGTCGGACAGCCGGGTGAAGACGGAGATGGCGGAGGCCGACGCGGCGGAGCTCCAGCAGCTCTTTGACTCCGTGGAGGCCAAGCAGTACAAGCGCCCGCACATGAACGAGGACCTGAGGCTGGGCTTCGCCTCGGACGACTTCGCAGGAACAAAGTGGAAGAATTTGACGGGCACCGCCCGGGAGCGACGGCACGGAGATGGTCACCCTCGACTACTCTCACCTCACCAGCGTGCTCTGGGGGGTGTGCAAGGGCTTCCAGGCCCGGCTGGACGAGGTGGAAGCCTGGCAGGCCCAGCGGGGGCCGAAGAACAAGTAGCTGCGCACGCCTCCTCGTTCTAGAGGAACCTTGCTCAAGCTCCTTTTTGGGGCAACAA